TTTGTTACTTTTACTTGAGTAAAGAAGTTTAATCAGTACTTCCACTTTTACCAGAGTATTTTTTAACACAAGTATCTGTACTTTTACTCAAGTATGGAAAGCGAGTACTTTTGCCATCTCTGCATATAACCAGTCGGCAGTGCAAATCAATATTGCAATATTGTAATGTGTGTGTGTGAGTGATTCAATAAAGTTTCAAAGGAAAAAGTAAAAAAAATATATAAAGATATGGTGCAGTAAATGTAATCCTAATACGTTAAAGTTACTTAAGTAACAGAGTAAATGTAACTAGTTACTGCTCACCTCTGACTTTCTATTACATAATCATGTTACTGTTGTGCATCTTTATAAAACATAAATATATTCTTCAATCAGGAAGTACTTTGGCATTTTCTTCCGAAACAAGAAACAACTTCACACTTCCGTTCATGTCCAGCAGATGTCCTCCTTCTCTATTGTTCTTCTAAAACTCCCATCAAACAGGAACACAGTGATCCTTGGTGCTACTTTAAAGTTTACCTTTAAGCTACATGAAGCTGTTTGACGGAGATTTGAAAAGTGCAATTTTTTTTATGTTCCTTTAAAAATAAAAAGGCTGAATCAGTTTTCACTTAAGATCTTATAAATATTTATTTCTTTTACTACAGCTCTGACATATGCACATGCAAGCTTAACATGTAGGGAACAAAGGAGGCCAAAGACAGTTATTTTTTACAGAACCATCGATCTGGAGGAGACCAACCAGCAGGCATGAGTTTAGCTTCCAGCTTAAAGGGAAAAAAAACAGCAGGTGAGACCAGAAACTTCCTGATCAGCTGATTATTTGATCTTTGCTTTGCTCCATGGATGACCAGCTTTGTTCCGGGATCTCTGTCCTTTTGGATAAACTGGTCTTACTGGGGAGATGGAGTGAGGAGTTCCCCCCATCCTGACCCAGCGTCTCCTCACAGTTGGCAGCTTGTTTCTTTAATCCAAGAGACAGAAAACAGGAAGTTGTAGTTTTTTGACAGTCTGGCGTATTTGTGTCGATGATGGGAAGCCCACCAATGCAATGACTTCTCTGGGGAGCCACTGGGAATCTGGGAACTTGAGTTTGTTTTACTGGAAAATCAATAGATATTCCCTCTCAGCTCTGTGTTGTGATGTTATTCCTCCACAGTCGTCATATTTGCAGGGCTTCTAGTTCCAACCCAGTTTTGAAATTTTCACTCAGTCTCTTAAAACCGGAGCAGAACCAGCTGGTCTGGGTCAGAGAGACTTTTCTGTCAATAATGGGACCAAGAGAGGAAAAGCCTGGATTTCATCGGCATACCATCCAAAGCCTTGGATCGAAATATTACAGTTTTATCTAAGAGATCAGATAGAAATATATGTATGCAGATCTTTCTAATTTCTACTGATAGAATAGCTGAAGAATATATTCTATAAATGCAGCTCAATCCACTTTTCGCTATAGTTTTTAAATGCAGATCAAAGATGGCGGAAGCTTTAATAAAACCACAATTATCTCATCAGTGCGTCTCTAGTTTATCTTGCAGCTGTGTCCTTCAGTGGCTCCCTTTGCTGCTTAAACCTTCAACATCTTTAAATAAAACCTAGAAATATCCCGAAAACATGTTTGGACTCTGGTGGCGGCACAGCTGATACAACCGCCGGCCATCCCTGCAAATAAAGGAAGCAGCAGCGTTCAGGAGGCCAGAGACACATCAGCTGTTATTTACAGATCACAGACCCACACAGCTTATGTTCCTGCTCCAGAAACGACTCTGAAGTCTGTTATATACATAAATACAGCGTATCTATCGGATAAATATTAGCAGCAAGTTTGAGGTACAAACTTGGAGGGAAAAAAATAGAGATGCATATTTGTTACATCATCCTTTCATGCATAGAGGAACGAAACACAGAAGTACATGGCATCCTGACAGAGAGGAGGCGTGCTCGGCAAACATTAAAACTGCTCCTTTCTAAAACCACGACCAAACTCCGAATAAAACCAAACATCAGTCAGAACTGAAGAGCATTTACTTGGTGAAGAAGAAATCAACCGTCCATCAGTTTCCTTCTGGAACCGACACACATGGAGCTAACGCTGAACTAAAAAGGAAACAGCACAGAAGTAGGCTGCAGAGCACGGCGCTCACATTCAGTCGCGCTTCCAACAAGAACTCAACGCTTGCATGTTGCACCTCCTTCCTCCTCCTCCTCCTCCTCCCAGTACCGGACCTCACTCTGTCAGTCCTGCTCTCCAGCTGAGCTGGACTGAGGACAGCGGCTACAGGGTGAATGTGAGTGTAAATCCAGGGAGCAGCACACACAGGTGCTGCATCTGAAGGTTCCAGGTCTACTTGTGGAATCTCTGCAGATAAAGGTTGGAGTCGTCGAACAGCGGGTTCTTCACCTCCATCTCTCCCGTCTGTAAAAAAAACAAAAACAAAACAACAATTAATGATGAGAGGAAAAAAAAAATTATGATTGCATGTTTCAGTTTTTCGTTGCCTCTCATACAACACGGTTTATTTCAGAATCTGAAAGAGATCATCTGCAGGACGCTCAGGACCTGATGTTGCGTACATCCAAACCAGCCAGAAAAATGGCTAATACCTATTTCTAACATCCTCTCACAGTCGACTGAATGGAAACATGGTTATGTGACTATGAGAAACTGAAGGTTCTTCAGATTCATCACAGCAGATTCTACCATATTTTTTAAGAGCCAAAATTTCACCAGAAAAGGAGAAGCAGGAGACGGAGAGATGGACTACGGCCCTGATCCAGTCTGCTGCGGTAAAGTAGGATGTCCTGGAGAAGATTCTCAGTCATCCAGGTCACAGTCATTCCAAAAAAGTTTAAAAAAACAATCCACTGGATTTTGTTTTTGAAGAGCAACGTCTTTAGACTTGGAAACAAAGTCGAGAGGATTGCTTTTTAACTTTTTTGGAATACAGTAGGATGATAAATGTATCCGTTTACACCAGGGGTCGGCCACCCGTGGCTCCAGACCCACATGCCCTGAAGCCTTTTCAAAAATGTATGAAAATGGAAGAAGATGAATATATATTTATTTTTTTGTTTGTTTTAATATGGTGTGTTGGAGGTAAAACAAACATTTTCCAATGCTGTAAAAATTTATATCATAAAAACATTCAAACAATAAACTTTAACTTTACTGTCAAGGAATATTTGCATCATAGGGTTAGGGAGGGCATGCTAAATATGCAGCAGATCACTAAGTGGGGAGTGAGAGAAAAAGTGCGATTGCAGAACCTCTGGATAAATTAGAGGAGTGCAAAGATAGATTTAAGAAGTAGATTGCATCTCCAGACTCCAGTACTGCTGCTAGTTTGGTTGCAAGCATAGAAAACCGTCCACAGATCAAACAGGTACACTGGAAAAATGATCAAGAAATAAGTACAAATTTCTTAAAATAAGTGTATTTACCCTTGATTTGATTAGGTCAATGAGATAGTTTGCCTATTGTTCCATTGGCAAGATGTCTCTTTTTTTTCCTCAATTCAAGAACAAATGCAGTTATTTTAAGAAAAAATGACTTATCAAGATTTTGATTTTTTGCAGTGTAGCGCTCTGATACAGGGATGGGAACTTTTTTCCAGCCCTCCCCAAAAATTCTCAAAATAAAAATGACACAAAAAATCTGATTTCTTTATTGTGTTTCTATAATTTCATCAAAGCAACAAAAACTTACATGACAGTGTTGACCTGCGAAGCTTATATAAGACTTTTACATTTTTGCAGTTCCAGAGAGATTTGCTTTTTGTTTCTTTTTTCGCTCCAATATGGCTCTAACCCAAAAGTTTGCCGACCCCTTGTCTAGACACTCACCCTCACCTATGGCCATGAGATATGGATCAAACAGAAAGAGGGAGAAATAAGCTTGGATCCATCCTCCCTCTAGAGGAAGAGAGGAAAACGCCAAAACTCCAGACGCAGCATACTGTACAGTAAGGAGCCATCTGAAAGCATCCAAATGCCCACAGAGACGTTGAGCATTACGCATGCCCTGTAGTCTAATGATAGCCAAGCTGAAGAGGTCAGCCTAAATGACTGGTTAGGTTTGGAAACAAAAGCAGAAGGCTGCCACCCTGAGGATAATCATCCCTGGCAGAAGTTTGATCTGGGGCAGGATGGGTCCTTAAACTTGGAAAATGACCAGAACTCGTCACCAAACTAGTTACAAAGTGACTGAACGGACAATAAAGTAGCCTGAGGGGTTTGACTAAGAACTCGCTGTCAGCTCAGTGAATTGCCTGGTTCCTTATGGCCCATGCATGTACTGAGACCCCAGATGAAAGTGTGTTTACTCACTGGTGCCAACCCTGGACACTCGTACACGGTGAAATCTCCATCCTCATTCTCCTCGTCTGTGGACGCTCCCGAGTCAGGAATCCTGGGCTCGTCCCTGCTTCTGCACGGATCAAACACGCATAGACACACAGTCATTGGCTACTGAACGGGTGTCTCTGGTTGGACGAGGCAGGGGGACACTACGGGACTCACTTCTCCAGGGAGAGCATCTGCTGCTTCTGGTGCTGGTAATGGTACATCTGCGCACTCTGGGCCAGCTTCTTGTCTCCAGGCTAAAAAAAAGCAGCAAAAGTTCCCATCAAGATGCAGCAAAAACCCTACAGCTGACATTTCCTTACAGCAGAAGCATTTGACTGAACCTTCTGCTGTCATGGCTGCTCCACGGTTCACAGGCTGGGGGCCTTTCACACATATTAACTAAATTTAACCAGTTCCTGAGGATAGTACTTGATGCAAGTGATAGAATTAACTCTAAAGACTGTTATGACCGTAGAGGAGCCAGAATGTCTTCAGAAATACATTCACACATTAACTAGAGTCACATGACAATTAAGAACACAGTCGCTTAGATTTAAGATTTCTCTTATCAGGACTTGAGGTTCTTCAAAAATTATCTAAAGACCCAACTTTAGTCTAAGTTTAGGCGAATAAATTATTCAAAAAGCTTTGTGGTGAAGCGACGGTCAGGTGAACTAAAAAAACATGTATATCTACGTCATTTTTCTTAAAATAAGTGCATTTTTACAGTTGAGGAGTTAAGTGAGACACTTGGCAGGGGTTGACGTTAAGGATTTTTACCACTTGCCCAAAGGGCAAGTGACTTTCACATTTCATTTGCCCAGAAACAATTTTT